CATCTACAAAAGTTGCAAAAATCATAAAACAAGTAATTAGAGGACATAAGGAATCTGAGAGAAGTATCTGGGGAACATTAATTTTGAAATCATTTGCCTAAGTACTTTTAAACATTTACACTTGATCCCTCAGTCTATACATAACTCTGTAAGGAATTGCCAACATGTGTTTAATTTTACTCATACTTTATTAATATCATGCTTGTGAATATATAAAAGACCAGAGAGTAGCTTTTCTTAGAAGTATTGATAAAAGTCCAACTTTGCAAAATACTTAGAGAGATTTATTCTGAGCCAAATGTGAGGACCATGCCCTGCGACACAGCCCCAGAAGATCCTGAGTAGCTTATAGGAACCTGTCCTTGTCAGGGGTATTGGAAATTATTTGCTGAGGTAACCACATTGAAGTGGAGACTTGAAAGATGCCAGATTCCTCTCTGAAAACCTTTTCTCTTGACACTAGAAGTAAACTTACCAGAAACAAATGTTAGCATTTCTTCTGTGTTCAAAATTGCCACCCATTGGGAATATAATTAAACGTGGGGGGCTTATCTTTACAAACAAATAGTCCAGTAGATTTCTAAAATCCATTACAAACCCAATGATTCTGATTCATTGGCAGATTATGCAGAACATCCCACCTAATAGGAATCTGCAGTTAACTGGATTCCCCTGCATTGGGGTTTTGTAATGTTTAATTTATGTAGATAAAGAATACTACAAATCCTATAAGGGGTACATGTGATATTTTGATAAAAGATTATTATGTGTATTGATCAAATCTGGATAACTGGAATATGCTTCAACTCAATAATCAATTATTTCTTTGTGTTAAGAACATTCTAAATCTTGTTTTCTACTTTTCCTGAAGTATACACTAAAATATGAACTGTAGATGTCTATGTGCCATTTCAGAATTTCCACCAGCAAGGAGTGAAAATTTCTAGGAGTTTTTCAGCTTCCTCCTCACCATTTGGTATTTTCTATACTGCGTGTTTTACTCATCCTAATAGGCTAGTAGTATTTTTTGGATCAGTCTCGATAAATAACATGGTTTTTGTATTTAGTTTTGCTTACATAATGAATAACATTTACTGATTTGCATATGTTGAACCAACCTTGCATCCCAGGAGCAAAGCCTACTTGATCATGGTGGGTTAGCTTTTCGATGTGCTGCTGTGTTCAGTTTGTCAGTACTTCATTGAGCAGTTTTGCATTAGGAATACTGGCTTAAAGTTACCTTTTCTTTTTTTTTAATCGAGTCTCTTTCAGGGTTTGTTATCCGTACTGTTCCCATAGAATAATTCAGGGAGCGGTCCTTCCTCCTCAGTTTTTGGAAATAGTTTCAGTAGTATTGGTGCAACTCTAATTTATAAATCTGAAAAAATACTTCCTGTGAATCTTTCTGGTCCATGGCTTTTTCTGGTTGCTACCACCTGTCTATCTTGATGTCTGACCCCCACCTGAACCAGTAATAATCACATTGTATTCAGAT